AGAAGTTAAATATGATTAACCTCACGTTGTTGCTAAGTGCCATCCAGTCAGTTCCAACAGATAGTGACCCTGTATAGGGTTTCTGAAGAGCAGCTGGTGAGTTTGAATCTCCATCCTTGAGGTTCAACCCCACGTTATGATCTAATGCTTATCCTACAGCGCCACACCAGGACTCCAACCTCACTTTACAGGTGAAGAAACTAAGAGGTAGAAAAATTAAATCGTTTATTCAGAGAAGCATACCATGATGAAGAGTCAAGATATGAATGAAGATCTGCTCTTTTTACTCTTTTAAGAGTTTTTGAGTGGAGATTCTGAACTCTAAGGAGGTCTACAGGTAGGCTTCAGATGATCCCCTATCTCTGAAAATGTATGCACAATTGTCTTCGTGTACATTTAAAAATAGAAACTCTTTTATCTTCTTCTGTCAGATTCCCAAATTCCAAAGACGATTGTCACTGCCCCATTGCCTATACCATCATACCTCCAGAGGTGGCGGCACTTGACCTGAGCCTGGATGATTAGATAGGACTTCATGAAGTGAGCATGGGGAGACAAGCCATGGAGTGAGGCCGAAGAGGGCAGTCTGGCTTGGGCAAACAGTACAAGCAAAGACCTGGTTGTTGGTGTGTGTCAGGTTAATTTCAACTCATTGTAACCCTATATGATAGAGTACAACTGCCTGATAGGATTCCTAGGTAATGAGTTGGAATCAACTCAATGGCATACCACAGTCTTTACAAGAGCAGGTTTTGAAGCCTTTTCTCCTGCAGAGCTGGTGAGTTTGAACTGTTAAACCTTTTGGTTAGCAGGTGACTGTCTAACCATTTTGTCACCAGCGGTTATTAAAGGCTTAGTGCTGTTGTTGTTAAGTGTGATTGAGTCGGTTCCAACTCAAAGCGACCCTGTATAGGATTTCTGAGGAGCAACTGGTGGGTTTGAACTGCTGACCTTGTGATTTGCAGTTCAGTGCTTATCTTATAGTGCAGAGTTCTAAGAAAGAATTCATCATGTCCAGGATGTGGTGAAGGTACCTGTGGGTTCTGGCTCCTCATTTATTTGGGCTTCAGTTACAGATCCTGGTTCCCAACTCTTGGGAGCACCTGCCTGCTCTGGAACTGCATGATCTCAGAGGCAGGAAGTCCTCAGGATTGGATACTGGGATGCCAGTTCTGGTTCCAATACTGTCCTCGTCCACGATATGAGGTTTGAATTTTACCATCAGTAGACTCCAGCAGGAATACTTTCCCTTCTATCTATGTCTTCCAGGGTGAGAAGAAAGTGAGTTCACAGATGCAAGTTTGTGGTTCCTCATTGACCAGGGACTCCATTAAGGTGAGAGGATTGATTCCTTGACCTCCCAGTCTCTGAGAAGCCATCGGCATTTACCTCCTCCATCACTTGGCTGGTCCTTGGCCCCATGTTGCCCTTGCAGTGACTCCTTGAGTCTCCTCATCTTGACGGGCCTGGGAGGGGCCCAGCATTGTGTTCCCATAGCCATGGTTTTGTGAAATTTGAAAAGATCTGACAGTTTAGTCACAGTCGTTAAGATTGCTATTTATTTCCAGTCTGTCTTCCTCTGTGTCACAATTTTCCTTTATGTTACGTGCTTGGAATTACCATAGGTCTTCTGACACCTGTCAAGTTGGGGCTACACTTAATTTGGGCTCACTAGGACACATTTAAGGAGCTCTGGTAGCGTAGTGGTTAGGAATCGGGCTGTGAACCACAAGGTCAGCAGTTTGAAACTACCAGATGTTTCGTGGGAGAAAGATGAGGCTTTCTGCTCCCGTAAATATTTACAGCCTCAGAAACCCTGTTCAGGGTCATTATAAGTCGGAACCAACTCCATAGCACATAACCACAACAACAGCAATGACACATTTTTGTTATTCTCAGCCACTTCTGTGTAGGTAAGTCACTGTTAGACATATCTGTGCAGGGACTGACTTCTAGAAATATCCCTGCCCATTATCTAACAGTGAGGAGCTCTGATAGCAGAGTGGTTATGAGTTGGGCTGCTAACCTCAAGGTCGGCAGTTTGAAACTACCAGCTGTTCCACAGGAACAAGATGAGGCTTTCTGTTCCTATAAAGATTTACAGCCTCGGAAACCCTATGCAGGGTCACTATGGGTCAGAACCGACTCCACGGTACACCAGCAGCACCACCACCTGACAGTGGTCATATCATGATATGAATGGGTTTAATACTGCCCGGTTTATAAGTATACAGACAGTGGAAGAGAAACAGGAGAAACAAGAACTTGAAATGTTTGGGACTAGAAGTTAACCTGTGGGAAAAATAGAATGTAAGCAAAAAAATAGTAATGTAAGCAAAAAAAAGGTGTATAAAGCAATAAAATAGTTAATAAAAATATTATATTTCTAGATTGTGTGATGTCTTTGGTCTGTTTTGACTTATTTTTCCATTCTGTATAAGTATTCACTTTCCCACCTAATTTTGCTCTTTTTTTTTTTTTTTAAATGAGGGATCCCCAAATTGTTTAAGCCTCAGTTCATACAAATCTGAATCCATCCTTGGCTCAAGTATTTCTTTTCTGTGTAATCTTGTGCAATTACTTATCTTTTCTAGTCCAGCTCCTCTTCTGTAAAACAAGGATAAACAGTTTGTGTAGGTACAGTTATCCCATTTCTGAAACCATTACTAGAGGAAAGAACCCAACTGAATGAAAATTACAACCAAATATAAAGATAGGAAAAGATGTAATATACAAGAAATGATGTTGTTAAGTGCCATTGGGTCACTTCTGACTCATAGTGACCCGGTATAGACAAGCAATAAGTCCAGTAAAACTTATATGCAAATAAATGGACATAATGTGATTGTTGCAAACTCTAATACAGTTTATAAGAAAGGATTTTTGTAACAGAAGAGACATTATGCAAGAACATATTTAATCTCTTAAGAGAGAAGGTGGGACTGTGTCCTCTGCAGACTGTGGCACTATCTCAGTTTATCCTCCCTTGTGCCCTCTTAGACTACCAGGAGGATTAGCTCATTAAAAAAAACAAAAACAGAACACATTTAACAACAAACTCAAGACCTGGGAAACAGGTGGGAAAGAAAAAGAATTATAAACACGCTAAAGGTCTTACCTGGTTGGAGGAGAGGCTTTGAAAACTTTGATACTGGTAAATACTCATCTAGCTCAGGTGTTTGCTAATCAACCAACAAGATAAACTGGGGAATTAGATTTTCTGTATCACCCTCTTTTTCTTTCATGGGCAAAGGAGCTCTGGTAGCATAGTGGTTACAAGTTGGGCTGCTAAGCTCAAGGTTAGCAGTTCAAAACTACCAGCTGTTCTGCAGGAGAATGATGAGGTTTGCTGCTTCTGTAAAGCTTGACAGCTTCAGAAATGCTATGCAGGGTCTCTGTGAGTTGTAACTGACTCCACGGCACACCACCACCACCACCACTGGACAAGAGACCCAACTTGTCACAGTCCCTAGTCCAGGGTTTGGGGAGCTGCTGTTGATGGCTCCCCATATCCTGCCTCTTCCTTAAGCATCTGCCAGGTGGAGAGTGTGGTGGTAACAACAAGATGAGCTAAGAACATATCAGGAAACTCTCTTCCCCTCCTAGGGAAACAACCAGGTCAAGAGTCAACTCTGATTCTTAGCCACCCTGTAGGTCAGAGTAGAACTGACCCACAGGGTTTCCAAGGCTGCAACCTTAATAGAAACAGACTGGACGCTTGTAGAGTGGTTGGTGGGTTCGAACCACTGACCTTTTGGTTAGTAGCCAACAGCATGACCACTGCACCATGAGTGTGCCTTAGTAAGACAGAACTGGTGTAAAGCAAGACAAAGCCTACTGCAGAAAAGGACTGCGTCATTCTGACCCAAGCACTGCACAGACTTCCTTGTTCCATAGAGCTGGGCATCACTTCCCAGCATTATAGACCTTGGTACTACAAAGAATCAGGCCTTCCACCATTTCCAAGGAGAACCAGATGTTACCCCAAAACATGTTATCACAAAATCAGACATTATCGCTAAACCCCTAGTAACACAAAGAGACATCTGGAAGGAATTGTTGAAACTAGGATTGTATTCACAAAAGAGGTGGCAGTAGCGTCGATGGCACTTGGCCAAATGTACAAAATCTTGAACATTCGTTGTTACCAGTGATTTATGCTGAGTGTGTGTTTGGTCTCTAAAGTTAGAAAATTACCCAAGTGTGGGCCCCCTAAAGGCAGGACGAGGCCTTGCCCCAATACTATGGCTCCTTGAGTCAGGAGACTGAATCTCTCTTCAGTTAAGACTCCCAAAGGACAGAACCATTCAGGGTAGACTGGAACCCCCCATGCCAGGCTCCTTAAATGTCCTGCCAAACCTGGATGTGTCCAGGTTAAAGCTCGTTTCTTCCTCCCTTTGGTTCTCCCTTAAGAGGCCAGCTCAGGAGTCAGCCTCTAGGGGGTGCCAAAGAGACACATCTAGACAGAGGCCGGTCCTGCCTCCAGGCTGAGTGGAGCCTGGGGAGACCAGAGTTCATCTTGACCACACAGATACTCACAGCTGGAATGAGCTTGAAAGTTGGCAAGTCCATTTCCACTGTACAGAGAAGGTGGCTGAGGCTCAGAGAGGGTGCTTCAGGAAAGCGGCAGAGCCAGGCTGGGCACAGTTTGGAAGACAGTCTGGCTTACTGTGGTCCACTTCCCTGTTCTGGACCTCAGGGGAAGATGTGTAGCCTTTCCACATAGGAAATCCTGGTTCAAGGTCAGCCTGTTGACTAAGGAAGGGAAAGACTCTCTTGCTCAGAAGTGATCAACACAGCAAACCCTCAAATAATGCCTTGGTTCAGATGAGCAGATGAAGATCCACAGAGGGTCAGCGACTTGTCTATAGTCACACAGCAAGTTAGCAGCGTAGTCAGTATTAGAACACAGGGGTTTTGACACTCAGACTGGGAAAAAATGGCCAGAGAAGGTATCTGGTGGTACTGCCACTCTTGCCAGAGTGGGGCCCTGAGACAGTTCACATTTTGGAAATCTCTAGCTTCTTTTCTAACCCTGACTCTAATTGCTGCTGTTCAGGATCACAGCTATCCATGGCCGTCTTGGTCCTGGCCTCTTTGCCCTGCTGCCTCAAGATGACCAAGATCAAGGCGAAGCAGGCCAGGGCACCTGTCTTGAAGAAGAACTGGAGACCGATGAACCTGGGGACAAGAGCAAGGGACCCGTGAATAGGACCTTCAAATTCAGGGCTTGGATGTCCTACGATTGCAAGTAGAGTGAGGTCAGAAATTCTCACTCGTTGTGCAGTGGGAGGCCCTGAAGTCCCCTATCACCATGGCCATGGCTGGAGATACATGAAGAACCCCAGTTGACCTTACAGATCCTTCCCTAGAAGAGGGAGAGAGGCTATGGAGAAGGTACCTCAGACAGGGGTAGGCAGAAACCTACTGTGTGACGGGGACCAGCTTTGTCTCTGTCACCTCTCTAAGGGTGTATGTGGCTGACAATTGCACCTGTGAATGTCTTCACCTCATCAAGGGAGGCTTCTATCTCCTTTGTTTGTCTCAATCAAGGCTCTTATTTGACGTTTCCGCCCCCAAGAGGCCCTCCTGGGTAGTCCTTGCCCACAGAAAACACGCCCTCTTCAAAGCTGGAAGGGACTCAGCCCTGCTAACATGCTCCTTTACATTCATTCTGGAACCTGCAGTCTATCTTCAGGTTCTTTTGAGCTCCCCATTGTACAGATGGAAAGACTAAGCCCCAGAGAAGAAGTCTCAGTCTCTGTCATAACTAGACCATTGATCACATTCTCCACCAAGCCTAGCCTGTGACAGCATCATGGTCCCTTCACAGGCTGTATGGTCACAAAAAGGGTTCAAGGCCCAACTTTGCCCATTACTTACTGTGTGACCTTGAACTACTTGCTCGGCACTGGCTTCAGCACCTGCCTCATAACTGGTGGATGTAAGGTACCTCCCTTTCCCTGCTGGTATATCCTGTCTCAGTGCCAAGTATCTTTCCAGCCTGCTTCCCACAGCTCCCTGGAAGCTTTGGCCCCAGGCCTCACCGTGTTCGGAGCAGATCGTGGTCATAGTAGCGGCAGACAGCTTGGCGCCCACAGCTCTGGGCCCAGTACACACAGGTGGTGTCGATGGCACTGCCATGGATCACTGGGCTGGGCATCCACGCTGCAGGAGGACAATGGAGATGGCCATTCCCACCCCCTCACCATACTTCCTGACACATACAGACCTCTCAGGGGCTCTGGGTCACCTGGGGCCTCGTGGCTTAAGAAGTTCTTGATCTTCAAGCCTACCCTTCACTTTCAGTCAGATGCAGCTTTCCTGACGAGCTGTCTAGCTTCTGCTCACCACCTCCATGTTATCTGGGAACCATTTAGCCCTGTGCCCCCAGGTCTGGCACACGGTGGGCGTCTGTACCCCATTGCTATCACCAAACACATTCTTTACCAAGAATTCTCTGAAGCATGAACTGGATGCCCACAGCCAAAGTCTTGTCTTCTTTCTTCACGCCCCTAACAAACAAGGACATTGGAAACGTGAGGATTGAGAGGGTTCCAAGCCCCACAGACCCTGCAGCAGCATGGAGGGGCTCTTTCCACCCTCTTCTCTCCCACCACCTACAGCCAGCCTTCTCCCCTTCTGATGGCTGGGTGCCTTCAACCTGCAAAGCCTGGTCCCTATGTACCAGGCACACTTGCTGACCCTCAGGGCCCTGTGCTGACTCTCTATGGTCCAGGTGAAGGACACCTCCCCTCTTCCCTTCCTCGCATACTTGGCAAAGTCATGAAGTTGGGACAGCTTCCCAACCACTGTAGGGTCTCAGCCTGAGCTCTCCTGACAATCATGTTCCTCCTAAATAATAACAATGGAGTGCTTATTATGGCCTCAGTCAGTTGACACTACAACTCTATAAGGTAGATACATAGTTAGGTCCGCTTTACAGATAAGAACGCTAAGCTTAGACACGGTAAACGACTTGGCCAAGATCCCAGCTAACCACTATCAGAGACAGGATTTGTGCAACCTACAGTCGACTTAACCCCTTTTAATCATGCTGCTGCTGGGCCTTCTGATTCCCCTACTTTCTCATGGCCAGTCTGTTTTATGGACCTTCGTGTCTTTTAATATTTACAAGGGTTCTAACCTCCTTTGAGTTTTCTAGAAAGAGATAAGAAATAAAATAATCCTTGCATAATAAAACACTGGAATTGTCCCGCTCTGAGGTCCCCTTATCCCAGCCCATCCTCCATTCCAAGATGACCCTGACTTTGACCTCAGATGACACTCTGTCAAATCCAGCAGGCATTTTCAGGACAGTGGCCAGAAAGATCTAAGAGCCAGGGTTGGCTACACAGTTAGCACTTAATAAGTGTTTTGTTGTTGTTGCTGTGTGTCATTGAGTCGGTTCCAACTCATAGACCTTGTATAGGGTTTCTGAGGAGCAGCTGGTGGACTTGAACTACCGACCTTGTGGTTAGCAGTCCAGTGCTGATCCTACAGCACCACACCAGTACTCCACAGTAAGTGCTTAGTGACATCAACCACACTGATTCAGTCTGGTGTTGTGGACACAGCTTCTGTGCTTGCCCATTGCAGGCAGGATGGGGCCAAGGAGTCAGGTGACACTCCTCTACTTCTTCCTCACCATGTTGTCATGTGACCTCAATTTGACAAAGAGGCCAGGACAGGGACTCAAGGTGTGGCCTCCTCTTCTGTAAGGGAGCTAGCTAATGGGCCAGGCACCAGGACCATTCTACCCAATACTGGATATGTGGCCTGGGGCCATTCTTAAACTTCTCTGAGCCTCAGCCTCCGTAGCTGTTAATATGGGGACAGAAACCTGTCTCAGCATGGGATATAAAAGGACAGTCAGCATCCTGTCTGCTGTGGGGACCCAAGTCATCCAAGGGGCCTTCGTCCTGGGACTCCTCCCTCAGAATTACTTGTGTTGCATATGGTGTCACCTGAGGATGAGCATGAAGGACGGTGTGTGGGTGACACTGGCCAGCGTTGCACTCATGCTGATCAGGAGCACGAAGGGTAGCACCAGGGAACTGCAGGCAGACTCACAGGAGCTGGCCACCACGCTGCCGCTCTCTTCCACACAACTGCAGTTGGTGTAAAAAACCTGTGAGAAGGGGGAGAGAAGACCCTCAGAGACTGCCAAAGGAGCAAAGCTGTCCACAGGCCTGGGGCCCAGGAAGGCTCACGGCAGGCCCAGGGGTACATAGCCAGCTGGGTCAGAACAGGCTAGATTTGGGGGCTTCTGACCTCTTTGCTACATTAGCATGACTTGGGGAGCCAGGCAGGTACTTGTTCATAGGCAGTCTGTGCACAAATTATGCTAAACTTGGGCTAACGTCGTAGGGAGATGGCAAAGTAGAGAGAGAAAAGGGGAAGGCCCCAGAAAAGCATCACCCTCTGGAACACACACAAACACTCCATGTAAGTCATACCCCACACACATATCTCTTAAATACATACCACACCAGCTCCATCCAATACCATTCACACATATCTCCAGCATACCATATATCTCCCACACATACAACTACACCAACATA